TTATGTAATAATATATTCATATATGTAAGTGGTTTAGGTTATAAGTGTAGGGGTTTTGGCAGTTTTGTTGCGCACAACAGCCTGGACCACCACACCGCTCAAGATGTGTATTTCGAATATCAACGACAACTGCATCTGCTATCAATCAAACATCAGCGGTCTTTCAAGGCTCTCGCAAAATATCTTGGGCAACGCGGGACCCGACAAAAGAAAAGCGCTTGGCATAAATTTCAATCATCTGGAAAGACAGCCCAAAAGGAGTATCACCAGAGTAGGTTCCAGTTCTTTCCGTTAATGTTCAAGAAGATCACTGATTGTGTATTTTGACCTTCATTCAGCTCAAAACAGTATTGGTCAGCGCAACAAGGATGCCTCTAAAATCTACCGAGAACTAGATCCAGCTTCACGAGACCTCTACAACAAAACTGATGATGACGACTGGGTTGATGCGGACTCCACTGAAGATCCTAATGCTGATGACCGATCACAGTTTGATGTCCGGCGTCAGTCAACAAAGAAACTACTTGCTAATGTTGACATCTGGGCTAAGGGTGTACAGCTCAAGGTATGTCCAATTATTAAACTAGTACATCATTTGTGTAACTTACTGATGTTTTTGAATCATTTTTAATCAGCTGAAGGAGTTGAGTGATGGGCTTGGACTTGAAGGTTTCTTAGTAATTGCTGATCAGGACCATCGCCAACCTTACTTCTTTCAAGGAGGAAGTTTGCTTGGGGATGTATTTCTGCGTGGCCTGATTGACGAAGGGGATGCAATTTGTCGGTTTGCCGTCTGGACTGCAGGAACAAAGATCAGAACAAAACCAGCTTCAAAGATCACCACACCAGTTGTTAGCGCTGTTTGCAATGCTTCCAAATCAAATGATACCTCAAAGACGCCTGATATCAACAATTATCACCCTCCTGAGGAGCCAGACATCAATAGTCCTGAAGAAAATCGTGATGTGTGTCAGGGTAAGCTCAGCCCCCCTCTCTGTACATTGCCTTAAGATGCTAATTTTTCTTTCTTCCTTTTGGAACAAATTCAGGAGGTCTGGCCCAAAACCATCATTATCTTTCCACCATGCTCCGTGACATGTACAGTAAGTTGTCTCATTCACAATTCACCATTTACTCAGAGTCATGGAGGGAGGTCAATGTGCATTATTTTTATGGTTTTTTTGTGCATGTAGGTCAAGCTATTGGCCTGACTGACTCAACATCCCCGTGGCCTGGGACTGATACCCTCTATAGACTCAAGAAAAAAAACCTTAAACTGGTAATTGCTGAGAACCCGGGGCAGTTGGGATTGCACCACTTCTCGCAACCTATCAAGAAGCTTCTCCTACCCCAAACATACCCTTTGCTACGCGGCCTCAAGAACAACTGGATTTCGCTTGTTAAGATTGAAGAGTCTGAGGGACTAGCACCAACCAACCGAGCACCAATTGCAGCATCGAAAGAAGTAGCACCAATTGTGGAATCCGAGGACCCAGTTTCCATGGAAATTGACGACAACCAGAGCTTTGAAAAAAACAAAAGCAGCTCTGACACCACTGATCAAGCATTTGAATGGATTAGTTTTGACCAGGTAACATTTCAATACTGCAATGATGTTGTCAATTGTTTTGGAAAATCTGATGATATTTGATCTTAATTCATATCAACTCAATGCAGGATCATCTTCAGTACAACTCGGTGCCTACCCATTTGAGGCATTCTATCTCACTAATCTGTAATGTTCCCAGGTGATGGACATTGTGGGTTCAGTTCAGCAGCTGTGAGTATGGGCCTCCGCAAAAGTAATCCCTGGGAAGATGTACGAAGGGCTATGGTGGAAGTTATGGATAAAATTGAGGTATACAAAAATGAGAAGTACTTATCCACGGTATCCGATTGCATTCCTTTCGATCAATTGCGCTTCAATCTAAATTACTTCCATCCTTTTGCGAGCAAGACCCATTGGATCAACTTTCCTCGACACGGAGATCTTCTCGCAGATGCTTTTCAACGGCCAGTCATTCACATTTCAAACTTGATCATTGCAACCTATCTTCCTTTGACTTATGGGCCAACAAACAACCCCCCAATCTTTGTTGTTTATTTAGAAGGCCAGTATCACTATAATGCTTTTCAATTCAAAGGGAGTGTTTTTCCTGCACCTAGAATCTCTAATCACTGGTTCAAGTGGAAAAGCAAAGCGGCCTCAGAGTGGGAAAGCTTTATTCAATTGAACCGTGATGAATGGGACCAAAGATTTCCTCCAAATCCAAATGTAAAATCTGTTGTGTTGGAAATATAGCCATTTATGATAGTAGCTTCTTGGATATAATTATTCTCCTATGTTTTCAGTCATTTTTCTACCTTACTGTCATCTTTGGACCTTAAATTCACTCCTTGAAAATGCCATTATTTTTTTCTGTTCCTATCTACTCCCCCTAAAAATCTCATTCATTCCATCTCTTTTATTTTTCTTGGACCATCTTGATCTGGACTGAATTATAGTCTTTCATAGCTGGTTTGATGTTGAATCTTATGAACTTTTTTAGACTAATTACAACTCTCCATGGCAATTTTTTTCAACAACTCTTGTCTTTATGATTGATTTCTTTCTTTTCCTATTTCACTATTTGATTATTTGATTCTTAAGAAACTAATTATTTAGAATTAACACATCTAATTTATGTATAAAAAGAGACTGAGAAGTCCTTCTGGGATTGTTTTTTCCAAGAACACAACTAATTCTTTCTCTTAGTTTTGTTAATGGATAGACTAAAAGTTGTATTTCATTAATACCATTCTAAAGAAATACAATAAGAGAAGAAAATAGAAGATAGAAAAGATAATCACCTAAAAGCAGTAAATGACAAGTGAAAAGAACAACAAGTGCCTTAAAGCAGAGAGAATGAAAAGAAGAAGAAGTTCTAACAAAAGGAATGTGATCAATATGTGAACAGTCAAGTAGAAAGAGAGCCGCAGCAAAAACCTACATGAGAAAGAACTCAGGAAAGTGAGGATCGGCGAGTGTCGGTGAATAGAAGGGATAAGAGCTTATGAATGATCAAGTGGATCAATAGCCAGATGGACGATGATTGAGGAACAGGAAAGATGTTTGATGTCGATGATTGTGAATCAATGATGACATGGATGATGGTCGAGGAACAGCGTAATGAGATCGGAAGACAGTGATCTTTGAAAAGATGTAATGAAGTCAGAAGACAATAGTCTTGATGAAGTAAGGGAAGAGAAATCGATGAGATGATTGTGATGGTCACAAGTATGGTTGAGAAAAAAGTTTATTCCTGAGAGGGAAGAACCGATTGTCACGAATGTATCAGAGAAAGATAATAAGGAAGAAAGAAGAGGAACGAGCGGGATGATGACCGCGCAAGAGATTCAGAGGGTTTGAGTGTCATGATGTCATCTTAAGGGTCTGAGCACAATGACATCATGATTGCGATCTGGTTGCGATCTTGAGGGACAAAGAGCCAGTTAAATGTTAAGCCCCAGGGCTTACACATCAACAAGTTTTTATTCATTATTCCATATTTATTCAATTTATACCCAAACACATTTTTCACACTTGTATTCAGTCTATTTAATCCTGGCTAGTTACTTGTGAAGAAAATTTATTGGTTCTGAGCCTCTCTTAAAAAAGAACCTTGTCTTTCTTGGCCCTCTTCTAAACCTATTCTCTTCTCCTGTGCCTAGTTCAACATTTCAAAAGCTACAATTATTCCATTATGCCAATATGCCACTTGTTTGAAATTACAAACACAGTTCACCTGCCAAAAATGCAATAGAAGACAATAATAGAAATATCATTATGAGCTCTACAGGATTGAACATATTCAATCTATGAAATTGTCCTGAATGAATTTAAAAAATCAGGATTGAACAATCCTACCAGCTTTTTGTTGTTATGCAATCTGCTAATAAAAATTAACATGGCTGAATTCCTAGCCTTCTGATTGCATAGAAATATTGAAAAGTGTGTGCCTGTGTTAGTGGGTGTGCTTGTCTATTCCCCAAATAAATTGCAGGCCCTGGCCCTTGGGGACAAGCTCTCCAGAGGACTGAAAACATAATGAACCAATTGGCACAACCTACTAAGAACAATGAACATGGAGGAATCCATAGCCTCCTGATGGTAAATACTCAGGAGTCCTGAAATATGCACACCATTGTTTTTGGACTTGCTTGTTTATGCTCCAAAGAATTTGTAGTCCCCACTCCTTGGAGACATGATCTTCAGGTGGGTGCAGCTGATTTTTGGCTTAATCATGCTTAATGTTTTTTGGTAAATATTTTAGTTTGGGGCAAAGAGTCATAAGCTCACTCACTCTAAACAAATTTGGGGTGACTATGAGGACCCTGAATACTCATGAATCTTGCTTGGTCAAGACAAATATTGAGAACAGGCAATCCTTGTTCCAGGGGTTTGTGCTGTGCACAACTCCCTGAAGTAACCTTGCACATAATGTGGAATGTCAAGCTGACCAAAATTCATGCATTGCTTTTTGGCAGTGTGAAAAGATTTCATGACACATTTGTTTGCAGTGTGCACGGTACATCCATCATTTAATGTGGCATCCTTCATGCCCTTGCACTTGAACTTGTAGTGAGGCTTTTATTTTAATAATTTTTCAACTTATTAGATAATACACATAGAAAGAGCACATGGGTGCAAAGATGAAGATTGAATGCTCAGAGAGGTACTTTTATGTAACTTCCTGGATGCCCTGTGATTCAAATCCATGTGGAGCATCAATTCCATATGGCTTCCTTGATTCCAAAGAACATCAATTGTAAATGATCAATACTCAATTACTTGAAATTGGGGAGATTTGTCATAAGATCAAAGGGTAGGTGGTAATAATCATTTGAAACTTGCTGTATGATTTTACAAGGGCAAAGATTTAGCTCCATGGCCTCCAATTGACTTCCATAATCCTTTGTTGGTTTTTGAAATTTTGACCAGACATAGAAATTGGATGACTCGGAAAAATGGAAGACAGAGAGTAGCAAATATTTTGATAGTAGCAAAGATGGATGGTTAGATAGTAGAAAAGTGAGAATCATCTACATGTCCTTAGTTCATTTGACTTATTGGCCTCCAGACTGGATATGTGGGAAATGATTTAAACTCCAGTTATTAGATTTTGGGGGAGTTTTAGAGATATCAAATATTGATTACTGTTTGAGAGATATCAAATGAGAATTATGCATTTATCTTGAATACTTTCCATTGTGTGGTGGATTTTTTGAGATGGTTCTCATATTGATCATTGGCCCTCACCAAGGGAATTTTCTGCACAAATTAAACCACTAATCAATCAATTCTGAGTAAGTGTGGTATCTGGATGGGGTAAGTGTTGTATCTGGTTGAGTCCACCTTTTATGTCTATGATGATTTGGATATGACCTCATTTGCCTTCTCTTGCAATCATACAAGCTGATTATATGATTGCAGGTGATATAATATATTTTTCACACTGGTTATCATTCAATGTGCTTGATTATATGCAACAAGTATGTGGAAAATGGGATGACTGCTTGCCAAATCCATTGATGATCCTGACCATGTGTGTTGGTTGGGTTAGAGGATGATGGGATGATTCCTATCTGTAAATCAAGATTCCATCCATTCTGAAGCCATTTATGTCCACTGGGAATCATCCAGATTATTTTCCCCATCTATGTCAACTGCCCCAAAGCATGGGCTTTGGAAAATCTGCAGATTTATTTTGGCAGTACTTTGGTTGATCATATGTGCACAAGTGACCATACTGTGGTTGATATGTGCACATGTTAATGGAATGTGTGTTGTGTGTAGGTCAGCTCTTGTCCCCTTGATCACATCATTATAAGAAATTCATCTTATACTCATTTATTGTTCATTTTGATTCATACTTTGTTCAATCACATCTGGATTTCTCTTAAATTCAGTCTTTCTTCTACTGCTGGATACACTACAGTTGAGGGTATCCTGCCCCCTAGAGGCACTTGATATCTCATCCAGAGATTTCATGATTTCTTTATAATGGGGAATTGTGGAAATTATGAACTGGACCAGTCATTATTGTTTAATTATGAGTTCAGTTAGTGCCCATCTTTCATGAACAATGAAGACCATTGTGACCATCAGGGAAATTGATCTTCTGTGTGATTATGTATGATTTACCATTGCTGAACTAGGCTTGAGGTAAAAACACAGCTCTGTCTGCTCTCAAAATGCATGATAGTTTCTTCATTCATCATTGATTGCTTACTTCTCCTCTGGTTCAGACCTAGTGCTGTATTAACTCTCCTCAGGTTCAGCAAATCACAATGAATTGGGGAAAATTTCAGTCCGGAGGTCAAACTGTGCAGGTCTCAACAAAAAGGCTTCAAACCTCAGTCATGCATGCATCATTAAGATGGGTGTATGTGGATACTGTATCTCAACTGAAAAGGGTACAGAGGTCTGCCCACCTGCTTCCATTGGATCCGCACTAGGTAAGCTACTACGCGTCTTGAATATAAACTCTCCAGAAATGGCTTACCTCCTTACATTTGTTCATTCATGTTTACCATTCAAGCGGTTCCTTGGATTTTTTCTTTGCATCAAATAGACGTAAGTGTTTTTTTGCAGAAATCGTGCACTCGAGGATTTTGGCTCACGGTGACACATTCTATTAGGTCCAACAGCACGATGTGCTAGGAAGAACATCTTTGTAGGTTCTATCAATGCTGATCTGATGATTGATTCAGTCACCATCGGTGACTTCGCGCTTCCAAACATTGTTAAGTTTGTCAGGTGTCGGAGCGGTAACTCATCTAAGCTCCCAATTTGAAAGCTCAACTGGCGACACCTCCAATGGTTGTTCACATGTTTTTCCAATCCTTGTTTTTCTACTCGCTTGGGAAGGCTAGTCCCCAAAGCACATAACATCATTCGGAATTTGACTGTTCTGTATGTTTTAGGTATTTTTCTTTTACATTTGTTTGGACAGAGAAGTAGAGCGGCCGAGAAGTACACATTTGAGATACTTATTCAATTATACACATATAAATATAAAAGAGGTGTAGCATGCTAGGAGGGATACTTGAACAAACATATCGTGGCTGCAAGACACTGAACCCTTTTTTTTCCCCACAGGAACTCTGCGCACTACAAATCCGAGATGGACGATGTGCGGCCCTGGATAATCAAGAAAATTGTAGAAGGACCACTGAAGCGTTTAGAGACTGAGTCGATCTTGGATAACCGGACCGCAAGCGTCTTACCACTTGAGCCATTTTGCACACAAAAGCTCCAACTCGATCGATTCCAATCTCCTCATCGATGGGGATCCCAGGGGCCGGTTTGGGCTGAGGCGTCTGATCGGGACGTGGTTATCGGTTATCCTCGTCTATCTCTCCCCACAGATCATCCAAAAGTTCGAGTCCGATCAGCAGACTGATAAACGCTCATTCGGCCAACTCGGCTTTCCCACCTTCTTGTTCGGCGGTTGTCGCTGGATTTGGCACGCCCCTGCTAATACCAATCGCAACGGCGACAGAATCTTCAAAAACCAAAAAGACGAGGAAAATCTTTGATCGGAGGACGTGCTCGGACATGGTGAGTGTGAGATGGAGAGTATATCGAATGGTGTACGCGAATAGCCGCTAACCACACTTCGACTGATCGACCTGTGCCTAGGTCTACGGTTGTCAGATCTCGAGCGACTGCGGGAACGTCTTGGGGAGGGTGATGTGGTGAGATGAAGATCAGTAATGTTGGACTTGATGGCGCAAGCGGGTCAAATAATCACTCTGCCCGTTGCTTGTCCACCTGTCGTAAGAGAAGTGCTGGTGTTGATCAGAGTACCGACGAGCTGATTGATCTCCTGGTCGGTTATCACAGCGCTCGTTACCATCTCGACTGAATCCAGTCTCAGCGTCGTTGTGGTTAGATCGGGGCCGATAGCGCTGATGATGATTAGTAGGATTGCGGGAGCAACGCGAAGTAGCCTGTGGAACAATGTTGAAGGAGATCCTCGGTAATTTTTATTGATGAGGAGTAGTGTAGACTGAATCAGGAGAGGGTAGATCGATTGGCCATGCACGATTGAACGAGGGCAGTAGATCGATTGGAGATGATCGATAGATCGATGTCCATGCATTGATGGAGATGAGCAACCAAACGAGACCAGGGTTGGACAATGAGTGGTTGATCGAGATAAGCAACCAAACGAGACCAGGGTTGGACAATGAGTGGTTGATCAAAGATGAGTCAAGCGATAGTAGCCGGGGCCCATGGTCTCTAGTGAGTCAATATTCGGTTGGATGTCAGAGTAGATAGTAGTCCAGCAGGTGAAGATGCGGAAAGGAAGAATGAGCGAACCAGGTTGACGACCTCCTTAGCAGCCTGGTCGATTCGATTTGTGCTACGGTTTGATTGAGCAATCACCAATAGGTTTGGGCACCAAGGGCAATGGGGTATCGCGAGTGTGACTGATGAGATGAGTGCAGTAGGATAAGATTGTTATAGATGGAGCCGAGTTGATGGAGGTCATCATACTGTACGATATGGAGCTGTGGTCATGACGATGGCCAAGAGGTTAAAAGGGTTGTGTAAATGTGGCGGGGGGCGGTTGGTGTTCTGAACCCCCTCTTGAGGACAATTGGTAGCCCCTCTGAAAATGAAAATTTTCACTGCACTACTTCCTTCTCCTCGCTTTCACCCGACTCTTCACAAACGACTCGACTCGGTCTCCTTGCAAAAGATAACTGCCAACCCACTGAATGTAAGCCTTTATCTTCTTAATCTATCTCTAACAGCTCATCACCTCCTTCCTGCTTGCTCATTGCTTGCTGCAACCCAACTCATCACTGAAAAATGCTTCCCTCATGACTGAACATTCCAGACATCGTTTGAGCCTCACCAGGCCGATTCAATCATACTAGCGAGGACATTTATCCGTGAATTTTTCCTCTTTATAGCCTGTGCAAACACACTCAACCAATACAACATACCTGACCTCCGATCAAGAACCCTCAAAGCAAAGTCACATCAGACATGAAACCTTCCCTCGCTGCGAAACAACCTGCCCCAAATCCCTCGGTCAGTTGGCCCAGGACACTACTAGCATAAACATCCAGTCGATGGGCCAAAGGGAACTGACAATTGCAACACTACCCCAACTAGCCATTAATGAATTCGCAACTTCCCAGAGGCCGATTTGCTGCCGCGAGTTTCAACCAACGACTGCTCTCGAGCTTTTTATCAACCGGATCGGCCTTTGTCACACCAAATACTGGAGTGACCTGGAATACTGCTACGGGGGCAGAACTCAAGTAAGCCTGCCTTGTTTTTCAACTATGTCCCTCCAACTTCTTTTCTTTTATCTATGTTTCACAAGGTTGGATGTGAGGCACGAGCATCATTCGCACCTCACCTCTCCAACCTGAAAAAACATTCTCTTCTCCTTTAGGTCAATCTCTCCCCTATCAAAGGTTGGATGTGAGGCACGAGCATCATTCGCACCTCACCTCTCCAACCTGAAAAAACATTCTCTTCTCATTTAGGTCAATCTCTCCCCTATCAAAGGTTGGATGTGAGGCACGAGCATCATTCGCACCTCACCTCTCCAACCTGAAAAAACATTCTCTTCCCATTCAGATCAATCTCTCCCCTATCAATGTCAAACTATCAGCCCCATGAATCCAGCCAATTGAGAATTTACTGACTAACTTCATATGATGTTTTTGACCTCCTTGACAGGAAAAAACGGGTCCGACCTGATGAGGACATCAAACGATGGAATCGACTTCGCCACAAAGCCAACAGTCCCTTTGTTGCTTCCCAAGACCCAGAGAATCCGATCCAGTCTCCTTCATCTCAACAACTTGGGCCCCTCAAGAAAAAACCCTTCTACTACTTCATTCCTCCTGCCCGTCAACATGACCCCGAACCCAATGTGATGCACACCTCACAAGAAACCCTTGCATCCTCCTACAAAGGTCTTGACCATGGCACAGTCATAATTGCACCACGAGGCCAGGAAGCATTTTGCAAGGCTAAATTTATCCCGTTTTCCTCGATGCCATCAGATGAGTTGCTTGGATGGGAAAAGCTCGTGTGCTTTTTTCTCTCCCGAACTCATTACATCGCACCAGTCAAAAACAATGGCCCTCACATGGGTGGAACCATGTGGGCAGATGGATGGCGGAAATGCTCGAAGGCATGTGAGGCGTTCGGCCGTTATTGCTCTGTTACTCGGTTGGTTGCCATGATGCGAAAGTCAAACTACGTTGCCGAGGATGAAGCTGTTGCCGTTAGAGAGGCCAACGACTGGATATCTGTTCACCTTCAAGAACTGGCTCCTGGAGTGTTTGAAGATTACCGAGCAACTCTCATTAAAAATAATTTACCCTCAATGGCCCACATGGAATGGCCTCCTTCGTCGTATCACGCTCTCGACTTTGCTTCTTTTCTCACATTTACGATGTACGATTTTTTCAACGAGACCCATTTTGATTCGGATGCAAACAATTGGACCCTTGTTTGCTGGATACCGATCTTGAATCCTCGGACCTCGGACAAAGATGATCCCATCTTGGCAGACGATGGATTTGATATGATAGGTGGACAATTCACCTTTCGTGATTTCCAGGTGTACTTGGACTTGAACAAAGTCATTGGTGTGACCATGTGTGTGTTCCGGTCCAAAGATCACCGTCATCAGACATTGGCTGGATCCTCACCGTCCGACAAGTATACTCGAATTGGCTTTTCCTGTCAAATGTCTGAAGCCATGTCAAATGCTGTTGTTGCTTACATCAATGGTACAGCAACTGGCGACTGTATAGCTGGTCAAAAGAAACAAATAGACAATGCCGAAAAAAGCATTGTGAATCAAGACCAAAAAAAAGCAGAGAAACAGAGAGAGAGGGAGAAGTCTAAATGAATTATAACTTTCTCACAGCTATCATTTCATACTACAGCTATTATTTCATACTACAGCTATTATTCATCAGCTCTTTAAACCAAGTTTGTTTTCAAATCCGTTGTTGAGAACACGATTTATGCTTACCAGAAAAATTACATTTTCCTCAGAATTGTTATTGCTTTATCTCCTCAGCTACCAATTAATATTCTTACTATTGTCCTGTTATTCAAGATCATTTTATTTTTGAGTTGAAATTTACAGCACAGCTAGGTGCCCAAAAACAATTGCCGAACAGGATTTGGGGGTAGTGATACTGTATATGAGGCATGTGAGTTCAGGTTCGCGCAGTCAGAGATGACCGGATTTGCCAACATTTCCGAAAATATCAACATAAACCACCATCTTAGCATAACTGACGATTGCTCATCATTCGAACCCATCAAAAATGACAGCCAGAAAGCAAAAATCTAGTCTCCACCAATTCCACAAAGGATCACGGATGCCACGGATCGAAACGAGATCCCAGAAGGATTACCGGAACAAGATGCGCAAACACACGGCAGCTGAAGTATCAGATATAACTACGACTAGTGTTCCTGTGCCGCTGACTGAACTGATACCTGAAGATGATTACCTTCACAACACCGACCAAGAAACCTCACATCACGATCACCAAGAAACCTCACATCACGATCAAGACCAGGATGCTTGGTATGACATTCCAGACGAGATGAGACCGGAAGACGCCGAATCCCTCAGACAAATTCGATCACACCATCAAGCACTCATACAGCAGCAAAAATTGAGGAATTGGTCAGATCTTATGATATCGATGTTCCCAGCCTACCTCCATTTGAAAAAGAAAACGCAAAACTGGTCCCAGATTGGCTGTCTTGAAGACTTTTCAAAGGACCTGTGTAAATGCACTCCAGGACAGCGGAATTGGAGAGAGGTTGACCTCATTGATCTCATGGGTGAGTTGTTTCATTGAACATATGCTATTCAGATTGAGCACTTATATTCATTTTGTCTGACAGGTCAAAAGCGAACCAAAATGGCATTTTGCTCCTGCCTTCCTGACCCAATAAACATGTTGGCTAACGGTTATATTGCAAGCACACCCCTTTTCCCTCAGACTGCTTTTTCTCTACGTCTGCTTCACTTTTATGATCTCTTGTGGAATATATGCAACACCCATTTGACCTCATTTACTGAAGTCATACGGAGGTGGAACGAAACAATTTCAATCAGGCTGTGTGTCAAGGAGAAAAAGAAGGTATAGTGGCAAGAACTCATGTTTTCCTCAGTGGTGATTGTTCTGACTTTCACATAGCCCAGGGATCTTCGGAGTTGTTTTTCAGGTTCAGTCGATGCCTACCGACACCTGAAGCGGTTAGAACAAGATTTAATTCAGACCACAACCGCCTGCTCTTCACAAGACATTCTAGCCCAACGGTCATGTCCAGCTTGTTTTGGTGTTTCGCTGCCGGTCGATCATGAATCACAACCCTCAGACACTAGTCAAGTATTCCTCTGCCTCGATGGAAATTTTCAACACCGACATCATGAGAAGGCCTCCAAGAATCACCTGCCCCTTCATACTCCCCATCTGTTTGTCACTCCAGAAGAAATCCAAGCCTCTAACGACCAAATATTAACCCACGAAAAAGCTCAAAAAAAGACTGAGAAAGCGGTATGTCTCTTATGTACTACCCTTCTCTGTTCAGTCAACTCATATTTCTTCTGTAATTCATCAGAAAGACAGATGTACAGAGCAGCACAAGGCTGCAGATGACCGACGAAACGCCAGCACTTGGAAAGGTTGTGATGACACTGGATTGTTCGGATGTTGCTGCCGACACGATTCAGTAATCTATTTCTGTAATATACACAAATCGGGAGAAGGACGTGGCCTACCTATGTCAATCTTGAAGCGGCTCCTTGGCGAACTAAATCCCAATATTCAATTAGGTGTTCTTTACGATATTGGCTGCACCCTGGGAAAATTTTTTGAATCCCGGAATTTACTTACCAAACATCTTCCAAGGATGAAATTTGCTACAGCAGTATTTCATTCCTATGTCCATGACTGGGCATGTCAACTCAAGTTCAATCCAAGATACAACAAGGGATGGGGCTTAACAGACGGTGAGGGGTTGGAGCGTCTGTGGTCCTATCTTTCCCCACTGGTGGGCCCTCAAAGGTATGCGACTCGAAATCGTCGGCTTGGTGGAATCAATCATCGAAGTGTATTCCACAACATGCTTGGAATGGAGAAGCTGTGTATGTTGTTTTCACTTATTTCTAATTATGCATTTGGGTTTCTTTACTGATTTTTTTTCTTAGTATTAACTCTGAAGAGGAAGACACTCCATGCAATCACTCATCAAAAAGATGCTCGGACAAATCTGGACAAGCTTCTGAGTCAGCCAAACCCACATCAACGTGGCACTTGCTTCACCGAGGATTTTTTTTGGGCACAATGGGAAGCTCAGCGTGCTTTCCATGCCAATCTAAATGAGGAGGAGGTAGCCCACAAAGAGGAGCTAGCACAATTCTTTGAGCGAGGTGAAACCATCAAAACACTTGTGTATGTGACCATATGTTTCTTTCTTGTTACATGTTTTCAAGCTAACTTCTTTCCCTCTGCATGTCCAGTGAGATGCTTGTGTCAGGATTAAAATCACACTCACAGTCCGATCCCACCCAGATGATGAACCAGTTGAGTGAGATCCAAATGCTCCAGGCCAAGCAAGATGAGGAAACGAAAAAACTGGGCTCTCATTTTGGAACAGCTAATATTGAGGATGGTAAGATGCCTTTGTTTTTTTTTTTTTTTTTGAAAACTGATAAAGGCAACAGGATACAACTAATATTGATATTCAATAGAGGACCAACAAAAACGGTTGGGGCTCCTCTACAGTGCCAAGTTAGCACTCTATAAGGCTGCCGTTCAGATTCAAGGTGAATTGCAACCATTGCGAGATTCAAAGGGTCGGGGCGAGCGCCTGGGAACTGTCTTGAAGGAGAAGATCTTCGATGCCCTGGATCGTCGAAAGAAATCCGTCATTTCGGTTTTAAACACTTTCCAGACTCGGCGTACTGACTACCTCAGAAACCACTGTCCTGAACAACTCGACTTGCCAGAAAATGCACCAATTGACTATCACCAATTTAAGAAAATCCCGCTGGACGACCCCTTTTGGAACAATGGGTACATGTGCCTATCTAAGGACCCATGGGCCATCAATCCTAACGTGCGGTCTGGAATCCATGCGGTCCTTGCCTTGGAACGTTCAAAAGAGGAACTTGTTCAACTGACGATTGAGTTGCGAAGGACCGTCTCATGCGGGATTTCCCACAGAGATCAGGTGAAATCATGCATTGATCAATGTGTACTGGGTACGTTTTTGTTTATGTCTGTGTGTTGGTACTACTTGACCAAAGTTGATTGATCAAAATCTTCATTTTTTAGGTCCATTAAGCAGTGGGCTGCAGAATACATTAAATGATGCACTAGGTGAAGATGAAAACCGTGCAAAGACTTTGCTACGTGATGAATTGGAAACTTATCAGCAGCAGCATGAAGCACTGCTGGTAACATGGCATGTAACCATAGAAGAAATGGTATTGCAGGGCTTAGTGGGCCGCACAGTTATACCCAACACGTGGTTTGCCTATAATAGAGTTTCTTAAA